ACTGGATAGAGAGACCGGGATGGTTTTTAATGTGAAGACAACAACAACAACATTCGATCAACAGACCACCAGCAGACCACGCTACCACGCTCACGAACACACGTCACCAACACCCCGCACTCGAGTTCCGACGCTTCCGACGGCGGGCGGAGGCGGACCTATACCCGACTAACGCGGCGGAACTCTCGTGCGTTTGAAGTGGATATCTCTCCTGCAAGCCTCCTCCTGCAACCCNTGCTGTACCCTTCTCGCGATAAAAATACCTCAGGCATGAACCGCAGGAGGGGGGTCCAACCCCCCCCTCCTATGTGACCCCGGTTGGGTCGTCTAGCCAGTAGAAGTGGAGGATAGGGGCCAGAGGGGCAGACGGCAGAGTCCAATGATGGGAGAGAAACAAACAAAACAAACAAACAAACATGACTCAGCTCAGATATGTCCACGGAAACATCGGGCACAGAAGCATCAGGGTGTCGCTTTCGTCTGGAAAACATGTACAGACACATCAAGACCGGAGATGTATGGCGTGTTGTTGTGTACGCAGAGGTCGTTCGTACACAGCAATGCAGCAGCAGGAAGCAGTGGATGCCGTGGTTATGTCTCGATCAAGACCCGAGATACAGTCTATGACAAATCGTTGTGTAGGAAGAGGATCGTACAACTATGCAGGAGCAGCAAGCAGTGGATGCCGTGGGACCTCAGCTTAAACAGCGACCTTGACTTCGACCTCTCGTGAATACCCGGGGGAGATAAGGAACTGCGGGCTTGCCACAGGAGATGGGGAAAGATAAAGAGCGGTGGTACACGCAGCATGAACGGTGTGCGCGATCAAGTTGCAAGAGTACCCCTCGCTTGTTGCGTCTCTGCCGCTATGCTCGCGGATGACCCTGTGACAAAAACTCCAAAAATACGATGTTGCCGTCATTGTCAACCCCTGAAAGACATAGTCTACTGACGGTGGTAGCAGATAAGTATACACTGCTAACAAAGCTGGTCGTAAGTGCGTCGTGTCGTGTGCTGCTGTGATCAAACTGCGTGGCGCTACCTAGAAGTGCAACACTTGTATTCCNTACCCGGGAGAGATAAGGAACTGCGGGCTTGCCACAGGAGATGGGGAAAGATAAAGAGCGGTGGTACACGCAGCATGAACGGTGTGCGCGATCAAGTTGCAAGAGTACCCCTCGCTTGTTGCGTCTCTGCCGCTATGCTCGCGGATGACCCTGTGACAAAAACTCCAAAAATACGATGTTGCCGTCATTGTCAACCCCTGAAAGACATAGTCTACTGACGGTGGTAGCAGATAAGTATACACTGCTAACAAAGCTGGTCGTAAGTGCGTCGTGTCGTGTGCTGCTGTGATCAAACTGCGTGGCGCTACCTAGAAGTGCAACACTTGTATTCCCGCACTTACTTCTTCCAGGAGGGTAGAGGAACCAACCCCGATTTGCATGCAACAGTTTTTCGTGGCTGGCGGTGTCACCCTGACCTGTGTGTGGTTAAAAGCACACCATGCGTCCACAAACAAAGGGGCTGTCTTGGGGGAAAACATCGTGGAAAGAAGCGTATTCACAAGGATAGGTGATGCGGCTGCTGCGAAGTATCAAAAGTTTGTGGATTTTGATGTTGCGCAGCCTTACTTGTACGTTGTGCCTCGCTTGAGGGCGGAAAAATGGTGGAAAGTCCAACTGACACACGAAGTCGACGCAACAGGGTGAGGAAAAGAGGAAAGACAAGAAGGATGACCAAAACAAGCGCGGAGCATGAAGTAGAGTTCGGAGGTGAAACACAGGATCAACACGTACCGTCCCTCGTATTGGCGATAAAAGCTTTCTTTCTGGTGCCATCTGATGATCCAACTGTCAGCAGATATCTAACGTGGACCGACTGAAGAGGCGAAGATGGCACGAAATAAACAAGACGGATGGACCAAAAACAGAATGAAAAGGTGAAACGATAAACGACCCCGGAACAGAACGAAGAGTTCGGAAATGACACACGAAACACGAGACAAAAAAACGCACAGCGCTCCTAGTCGAGACAATAGATTATTTCCTGTCAAAGCTACCCAAACAAAACAACCGTCAGAGACGCAAAATCGTGCCCCCACTAGGTTGGCGCTACAGCGAACTGACCGCCGTGCTTGTGTGAAGGGAGGCCGGTCACCTCGCACACCCAACAGTCAAAAATCAACAGCCCAACACCATCCTGCGACAACTCGCGTGAGATTCATGCCCGGAATTTCTCAACCCAAACAAGGCGGGCCAGGCCATGCCATGCCAGGCCAGTACCGCCGCTGCTCAGCCACTTCACCGGCCCATCCCTCCGTAAAATCACAACACGAGGAAACGTTACCGAGGAACTTCAAGAAGACACAGCAAGAGCGACAGCACAACGGACAATGGTGGTCGAAGACAGCAAACTCCGAGGTCACGAAACGCGAGGTACTTGTTACCCATCTAGTCAACGGAGATAACACCAGACTGCACGCCGCCCTGCGACAGGGCGGGAGCTCCCTGAGACAAGGTGGGCGCTCCCTGCGACGATGCGGGCGCTCCCTGCTACGATGCAGGCGCGCCCTCAGACAGGGCGGGCATCAGGCGGACGTTGTAGGAGGACGACGAAGCGTGCTCTCCCCTGGATGGGATCCTCTTCGTCCTCGAGGGCCCCTTTTTCTTGGGGCGACCAGCCTGGTTGGGCACCCAGGCCGGAGGAAGAATGTCCACGTCAACCGCCAGCTCATCAGGCACCGGCAGCTGCACCTCGAACCGGCTGTCCGCGTACAGGGCTCGGTAGGTGTCGAGGTGGTAGGCCGGGTCGATGCTTGACATGATCTCGTCGGACTTGTCCAACGCTGCGTCATTGACAACAATAAGGGCAGGGTCGGGCGGTGGAGGAAAAGGCACATACATGAGTGTCATGCGAGGCATCGACATGGCAGGATATTTCTTTCTTTCAAGTTGTCCGCCAACGCAGTCCCGACGAAAAGCATTGACTGAACGCAATCCTAGTGTTCCAGGACAGCGTCTATCACCCGTTCGTGCTTCCTGGAAAATAAGCTCCAACGCGTCTACCAACTTTCACGGCGGGATGAGCGGGACGGCGGGCCCCTGCGGGCTGTGGCAACATTTGACTCAGCAACACTGCACCTCTTTTCGCCGGTCAGACCGGGCTGCGCCACACTGATACGAATGCTGGAACTGTCACTGCTCACCTCGCCCGACGGCGATGATATCGCAGCACGGGATCTTGAATCGAGTCTAGTAGCCGCACGTGCAGGTCATGCGAGTCACCACGCCATCTGTCCCGAACTCCAGCCCCACTCGGTTACCGTAGTTGCTGCCTAGTTTGCGAACAGTGAAGTTGCCGTTCCCGGTGGCGCTGGAGTGCAGGCTGTGATACGAAGACGGGCGCGAGTCGTGGGATGGACAGCAAAGGACGAAATTAGGTTGTTGTATAGTTGCCGTAGAAGG